TTCTCACTGTATCCTCACATGGGGATAGGGGGACAGAGAGAGGGAGAGAGAGAGAGAGAGAGAGAGAGAGAACTTCTTATTATTAAGGCTACAGTCTATTAAATTAGAGCCCCACCGTTATGACCTCATTTAACCTTAATTACTTTCTCAGGACTAAATATAGTTCTTTAAGACACAATCACATTAGGGGGTAGGGTGTCAACATATTAATTGTGCAGGGACACAATTCTGCCTATAGTACTTTTCGTATAGTAGACAATTTTACTATAATATTTATTTAAATATCAGCCACTTAGCTTAAGTGTTCAATGAATAGAAATAAAAAGTTTCTTATATCTAAATCTCATTAATTTATTGAGAGCCATTAAACTTAGCAGCCTTGATGTAATACCTGCTATTCTTTTTTCAATTCTCCATGCTTTGATTTTTATGAAAATATACACGGATAGCAATACTTATATCATCTCCAAAATACATTTTTCAGTGTTCATGACACAATAACTGTTGAAACATTTTACTGCAGGTGGCACTCTTTTAACTGTATCCATTTCCCACCAAAAAATGTGTAAAACTCAATTTTCCTTAAGAGGGCACTGTCTACTGTTTTTTAAAAACCTATTTAGCTGGAAATAAGCAAAATAAAAATCAATAATGCATTAGCTTTGGGAAGATAGAATTTCTTTGAAATATTGAATCTAGAATCCTTTTTCTACCAATAGTGCATAGAAAAAATAACTATGCGTAGAAACACACCATAAGGTGTATTTTTTTCTCCCATACACAAATAAAATTCTTTCAGTCCAAAGGGCAGATGCTTTTACTTTCCTTAGGGGAAAAATAGGAGGGAAAATCTGTAGGAAAAAATAATAAAATAAAAAAGAATTTGCAGCCTCAGCAACTAAACATTTTTTAAATGTACACACAGCACTCTCAAAGTAACAAATGCATCTGTTTGAGCATTTGGAATTTCTACCATGGTTTCAGAATATTTATTTTGATTGTAACATTTTAAATTCTTTATACATACAAAATATCTTTCATATTTTTCCATGCTTATGGCTAGATTCTTATTTTGGTTGTATGTGTGTGTTTGTGTATATATATATTTATATCAGTGCTACCTATTATGCCTAATGCATAATACACGAATATGGCAAGTATGCACTTGTGCTGTTGTTCTTGTTGTTTTAACCAATTCCCTTACAGTCGAGATAAATCTAGACTCTACTTTTCAGATCTCTTAGCAACAAAACCCAAATTTTTTCGAGGTTTTCATTACCTGTCTAATATTAATAATAAAAACAAAAAAATGTAAATAAACCTTTTGCTGTGTACATTCAAGCAGTTTTTATTGAACTATCCCTAAAGGGAAATAAAGGGAATAAAAGAAGGGATTCAGGTTTTATAAAGTGTCAAGCTCTCTCAAACTGTTGTCTGATTTTACCCTCACAACAGCCCTATGTGCTAAGTAGAGTAATCCCACTTGATAGACGTGTTAACTGAGAAAAATGGGGTGAGTCCTGCCAAAATCATAGCCAAGTTGAGAGTTCACTGGGTATGGCAGAGCCTGACATGTTTACATGTCATCATGCTGCCTCTGCAGAGTCAAATATTTACATCTATTGTTCAGATTTCCAGCCTCCATGACAGAAAAAAGGTGTTTTTTCTTTCATACAGTTAAGACACATAACAAACAAAGCAGCAACAAACTTGTAAGAGTTTAAATTCTTTGTGTAAATTCTACCATTTATATTTTCTGGCTTGCAATTAAATGGTTTGCAGGTTTTCATTCATTCCTTTATTCAATACACAAAACGTGCTTCGTGAGACCATTCTTTGTTTAAGGAACTGCAGGGAACATAGTGGTGTAATCTAAGGAGGTATGAGGCAAAGGAACTTGCCTTTGAGGAACTGAAATTTATTTATCTGGCTTTTGCTGATGATTTGACTACACCCAGGAAGAGATCCTCGGCTTTTTAACAAACCAAACAGCTGACAAACTTAACAAAATGCAGGCATATTTGGAAAGGTGATGGAGAAATACAAATTTGTTCATTCCCTATGTGAGAATGTGGAAGAATTTACTTTTGAGGTTCTTGGTTTTAAGCACTGAGAACAGAAGCACAGGATCAAATCATGATTTTCTCTATTAATGACAATTAAAATGTTATTTTTGCATTTATTTTTTGCCACTATTGGATAACAGAATTATGTTTAAGGAGCCAGTGACCTATTTTTGCTATTGTTTTTGTGTGAAAATAAGACACTTTAAAGATGCAATGAGGATAAAATTGGTAATTCTAGGTATTATGCAAATACTTTTGCCTATTGAGGGAAATACTATTCTTTTTCCATTTTGATTCCTTACCAGCACAAGCAAGTGTCATTTGTATATAGAAGATTGTAACCCTATTGCCCATTTTTTTGACAAATGACTATAGGTTTTCTGTAAGAAATGGGTCATACCTTCTGTTTGAATCATATCATTCTGTATATATTACAAAATTTGGCCATAAATTATTTTTTACTTATATTGGAGAAAAATTCTTAAAGCATTTCTTTCTACCATGACAACACATACAACACACTATCTTTTGGAAAAAGGATCTCATCTGCCTTAGACTGTTTTATTCACTATTAATATTCAGAATATATGGTTTTTCTAAAATATTATTTTTCAAACATTTAATAAAATGGTTATTTTAAATGCTAGAAATATGAAAGCTCCAATTAAATGGCTATAACTAAATATGAATTAAAAATAAACCAAATTACATTTTATTATCATTTTTTTCAGGTAACAGAAAGGAAGCAACAGTTGGAGAAATGCTTGAAATTGTCCCGTAAGATGCGAAAGGAAATGAATGCGTTGACAGAATGGCTGGCAGCTACAGATATGGAATTGACAAAGAGATCAGCAGTTGAAGGAATGCCTAGTAATTTGGATTCTGAAGTCGCCTGGGGAAAGGTAAAACCTATATCACTGAAGGTTATTTTTAACATACATTAAAAACACACAATGATATGATTTTGTAAGAAAGTATTAATGTATAGCAATGATAGAATTATAAATACTATCTTGCTTCATTTTCCCTTTCCCCCAAAATTAATCAGTAGTTTAACTCTATATTTCAAGACCACAACGAAACCCCAGTGGTAAGCATTGGTAAAGTCTCCTCAAAGCTTACCGAAAATTCAATAGGTTATAAATAAGTCCTTGAAATATACATACATCATTAGTCAGTCAGACAAGAGATGAGACTCTATGTTCTACTGGCTTTCCTAAGACCAGACTGCTCCTATGGATCCCACAACAATGAGCAGGGCAAGGACACAGAGACTGAGGACGGTTGGGCTGGACAGGACTTGCAAGATCAGCAGATTGCCAAAGTCACAATCAAAAAGAATCTCAAGGGGTCTGTGAAGGTGCTATCATTTCCATCACTAAAGGGCATGGGTCTTCCTTTAATCCTTAGCTGGTAAATTCTTGCCCTTTCTCTGACAGCCAATCAGACATTTATTGCTGCCTGGAATTTAAGGTCAAGGCACTCATAGCTTAATATTTTTTTACGGTTGATCCATTACTAGATTACTTTAAAGTATGTTGATATAGAGGAAATAGCTGATAACAATATCATGTTTTTACCTCAAACTTTGCCAAGTCATTGGACCATATATAAAAAATATAGCAACCCTACATCCTAAATATTTTTTAAATTAACAAACCTTTGCCTATATTAACTAGCTGTTTAAGAGATCTGTGCTTTATTTTTTAATTCCATATGGCTATCCAATTATCCGAAGTTGGGAAATTTTAAGTGCATTATGTAAAAACTTACGATTATATATATCAGACCAAAACTGAAAACTGTTTTTTTATGTAGATTCAGAGGACAAATAATAGTAAATTTTGTTATATAATTTTTTTCAAAGTCATGAATGAAATTCTTTTTCTTGTCATTCAGAATAGATTTAATGTTAATGATAAGATACTGAATCATAGTTGTTAGTTTAGAATCATATATAGCATGAGGTTATTATAGCAAGGGAGATACAGAATGTACAGGTTAAAAATTACATTGGCCTTCTTTTTTCCTTATCATTCAAACGTATTACGTTTCTATTTGACTATTTAGATTGAACCAACAACAATTATAGTGTTTAGGTACAGGCTGAGCTACTGTAAGAAATAAGCCAAAAATACAGTGGCTCAAAGAAGATAAAGGTTTATTTCTATCTCAGGTAATGTAGGTAGTTCAGGATAAGGCAGTTAGTTTTGATCCATGAAATCCTCCCAAGATTTAGGTCATTTTTATTCTGTTGTTCTACAGTCTTATGCTTACCACTGCCACACCTTAATTCCAGCCCACAAGAAGGAAGAAAATGAAGTGAAAGACAACCAGTTCTCTTAAGGATACATTATGAAAGCTCCATGTGTTATTTCTGTTCCTATTCCATTTGCCAGAACTTTGTCACATGGCCATCTCTAGCTGCTAGGGAGTGACAAAATATGCTCTCTAGCTCGGTGGTCATGTATCCTGCTGAAACAATCTTGTACTAAAATGAATAAAGAGAGAATGCATTCTGGGTGACAATTACCAGTGCTAGCCAGAGCAGTGTCAGTGTCACCCTGTCTTTTACATCATTAGATATAAACAGAGAAAGGCCTGCATGACCTGTCTCTCTCTTTATAAAAAGCACATGATCTGCTAGTGACAGTTTTTAGCATAAATACACATAAACAAAATAAAAGCAAAATATTTAGGATCTAATAATGTATGAAATATAGTAAAACAAGTATGGGACACAAGTAGTAGTGCACATAAGCTATTCATGAAAATCAGCGCGGCTTTATTTTCAGTCATCTCTCTTTAACACCATGGATGATATCTTTGATTGCCCATTTAAATTGAGTGAGTATATTAGTTTGCCAGGGCTGTCTTAACAACATACCATAAACTAAAACCTTAAACAATAGCAAGTTATTTTCTCACAGTTCTGGAGGCTGGAAGCCCAAGATCAGGGTGTTAGCAGGGTTGGTTTATTCTGAGGCCTCTCTCCTTGGCTTATAGATGACCATCTGTGTCTTTCACATGGTCTTTCCTTTGTACATGTCTGTGTTCCAAATTTTTCTTCTTATAAGGACACTAGTCATATTGGATTAGAGACCACATTAATGTTCTCATTTTAACATAATTGCCTCTTTAAAGGCCCCATCTCCAAATGTGGTCACATTTTGAGATACTGGCAGTTAAGACTTCATCATATGAATTTGGGGAGGATACAATTTATCAGATAACATTGAAGTAGCTTTATAAATAAATATAACATAGAATGCTGTCATAATGTTGCATAAAAGAGTAGTGCTAGACACGAAGACAATTAGAAAGAATCTGACTACAATTTACAAGTGACTTAGGAGAAATTTTAAAAGTCTGCCACATAGGAACTCTGTATTCTGGTGTCCTCATGACATTATTGACTAAGTTGTCTAGGAGTTACTTTTGCATTAGCCTCACAAGAAAATCATTCAAATATCAAAAGATAATGAACTGCTGGAAATGTTTCTAGATTATCAGTATCATATAGAAGGCTTGAGTGGTCTGGAGACTGGTCCACTTATTTAATCTGTCTGGAAAGTATTTTTTTATAAAACTAAGGAGCAATGCTAATTTGAGATCTAATAGGAAAAAAGTTGAAAAAATTGGCATCTCTCTTTTTTTCTTTACTGAATAAAGATAATTTATCACTCTCTCTGATCTTTTGAAACACCAACCTGTTAATGACATACTCTAAAATTCCTTAGTGGTCAAATGAAAAATAACCATATTTGCATTTGAATTATACAACTTTTAAAAAATTTTACCAATTCATTTGAAAGGTAGTCAAGTTTATTTTAATCATAATCATATATTAAAAACATGTGCCCTAAAATTTAAAGCAGTCACATTTATGATTATTATTCTAATAATTTAACATAAAATTCAACCTCATAAATGAAAGCACATGACTCCTTAGTACATTCTCATTTCACATACTTTCTTGGCAGATGGAGGA